CGAAGTGCCTGTGAAGTTGGTGAATTGCTATTGTTTGGGGCCAGTCCTGACTGTTTTTGTTTATAAACACTGGGGTGGTTGCCGGGAGGGGAGGGAGGTCAGAGCGCTGTCAAAGCGCTGACCTCTGAAAGCCCAGAGGGCGCCTGGCTCCTTCACCCTCTCCTTTCTCTCTCTCCCTCTCCCTTTTTCTTTCCCTTCCCATCCAAGGCCAGGAGCTCAGGTTCAGGGCATTTAATCCCCGCGATCTGCCCAAGAAAGGAGCTGAAAAAGGGCTGTTGAGGCTGCGGAGGAAGCGCCGGCAGCAGGCTCAGACCTGGGAGGCTTTTATTTATAGTAACGTCCGGGTGTGCGTTTTGTGCGGCTCCAGCCAAAATAACAACAGCAGGGGAAAAAAAAAAAAAAAAAAAAAGGAAAAAAAAAGCCAAACGGGACCGGCACTATTTAGCTCAGAATGTTATCGAGGTGTCTGTGCTATGATCGGGTGTGATTTTTTGTCTTAGGTGAACGCTCGTTGGGCGCACTTGCGGGAGGTGAATGCCAAACGTGGGGCAGCGGGGGCAGGATCGTACCGCGGTGTATTGTTGCTAGTTTATTTCTTTTGCGAACAAAACTTTCTAGGAATCGGAGAGGGGATTTGGGGTCGCTTTTCCTCTGCCCTCCCTTCAACCCCCCCTTCCCCCCCCTCCCCCCCTTATGGTGCCCTTATAGTGTGTACCGGAATGTGTTTGGTTTATTGGGGGGGGGAGGGAGGGGAAGGGGGGGGGGATTAACAATAGATTTGTATAAGTGATACCTGCAAAGAAAGAAATAATTAATAAGAGTCAAACGCCTTGGGTTCAGAGTCAATTTCATCTCGGGGAAGGAAAAGAAATAATATATATATATATATAAAAAAAAAAGTACAAGAGATTGCTATCAGGTTTAAGTATGTTTTGAAAAGAAGTTGCTGAGTTAAACAAAAATGTTAGTTAACACAGTGCCTTTGTCAAATAGCCCCCGGGAGGAGAAGAGACAACAAAAAGGAGAGGCGGTGGGGGCTGGGGATCTGAAAGTGTCTGTGCCTCAGATAAAGGGTCTGTAACGCTGCAATCTTGTAATACCTCGTTTCAAACTGAGCTCATCTATAGACTTAGGGAACGCAGTCAAAAGACACGGATCCCCTTTCCCTTGGGCTGGGGTCTGGGGAGAGGAGGAGGTGGGGGGAAGGGGACGTTTATTAGAGAATTATGTCGCTTTATTAAAAAGGGGAGCGGCTGCGGCTGTAATTATGCAGATCCTGTGCCCCTGTATGTCCGCAGCGCAGATTTAGGGAGTAAAATGAGCTCGGCGGAGAGACGCGGTGTAATAGAGCCCGCTCCGGGCTGGGATCTCTTTGTCTATCACAGAATGGTCAGTGTCGGGCTCCGGCCCGCACCAGCTCCCCTTGGCCAGGCCAATAAGTTTTCCTTGGGGGTGAGCTGGAGGTGGCGGGAGGACAGAGCGGGCTGTTTTGTTTGGGCTCTTTATGGTTTTTCTCCCCCTTTCCTCTCTTTGAAACGTAACGTCATTATCAGAGCTTTTGTGGTTTCAACAGGAGGCTCGGAAAAAAATAAAAAAAATAAAAAAAAAATCCCCAAACGTGGTGTAACGGTGCCTGCAGGAGAAGTTCGGAGAGGGTGGGCGGGGGGTCTGCTGAGCCCGGAGGAGAGGAGCTGAGAGGTTAGGCGAGAAGTCTTCGGGGGCGATCAGCTGAGCGAGAGAGGGAGGAGAGAGGGGAGCGGGAGCCGTGCCGCGCTGCTCCGGGCCGGGCCGGGCCGGGCCGCACCGCGTGGAGTCCGCCCGCCGGCCCGCACCGCAACGCACCGCACCGCTCCGCTCCGCACCGCAGCCGCGCGGGTCCAGGTCCCCCTCGGCCGCCTCCCCCAACCCGCGCCGCGCTCCGCTCTTATCACATCCCACAAACCTGCTGCTGCTGCCTCCCGGAATTAACCTTCTTCGATTTTTCCTAGCTACGTGGCGATCCCCGGGTTTCTTCTAAACTGTTAACATCCCGTAGTGCCTTTTTTTTTTTTTTTTTCCCCCTATTACCCCCCCCCCCCCAAACCCCCCCCTCCTCTGATATCTTACTATTTTTAGGGAGAGAGAAAGGGAAAGATTGAGAAAGAGAGAGGAGATTTAAAACGTTGGGAAGGACAGTAAACAGTGACAGAAGAAACCCTGAAAAATGTGGACTCTCCTCTAGCAATTCCTGCCTGTGTCCTCCCCCCCCCCCCCTTTGTTCCTTCAGCTGTAACTCAAGAACACCATAAACCTATAACCCCCTCCAAGAAGAGAGAAAGGGAAAAAAAAATCCGCAGCCCAAAAAGAATGACTTGACTGTTCTGACGTTTGGTGTTTTGACATTAATGACATTAATGATATTGATGTTTCACCAGGAAAAAAGCACCAGGAATAAAGGAGGTGGTGGGGGAGGTGCGGGGGGACGACTTTAAAACTAAATTATCTTCGTTTCCTTATTCTTCTGTGACATTAAGTATACGTGTTTCTTCGCTTGAATTTGAAATAGATGTATTGTTCTCAGGTGTTTCTTCATCACATTGTATTTAATTGTCTCCAGTCTTAGGAAATGTGTTGCCATCCTTCAGGCATGCACTTGAATGGACAATGCATCCTTCTATCTCACAGTCCCGTTCCGTCTACAATTTAAGCCTAAAAGCCCCTTTCCATCATACCCCCTCCAACAGATAACTAGGAGCCGGTGGCAGAGATTTCATTTTCCCTCTTTGTTTGCATTTTTTTTCCACCCTCTAAACAAGGATGCAGAATACCGCTGGTTGCCTTACTGCCTTCAAAGGTAGCGGGGCTCGTGCAGAGCTGCATACATGTGCTCCCTGATTTTTGGTCACCGATGAGCCGGTGCAGCGCTTAGGTGAGGTCTGAAAAAGGAATAAAGTTGCTTTCCAGAACCCTCAGATGCCCCTGACTGTTCCCAAAGTTGGAGGTTTCCCTGAAGTTTGAGGTGAGGTTTCTGTGGGTCGGCGTAGGGCTGCTCTACGCTCCCTGCTCCATTGGCTCTGGCCCTGGAACAGCCGCACTTTCAGGCTGCCCATTTTTTATGTCTTTTTTTTTCCTTCCCTTTCCAAAGACTCTATTTCTTTTCCCCCTCCAAAACTATCAGGACCTTCACTCTGACCTTAAACATCTGCTTTTAGCAGCTCAGTTCCCTGACACTGGCCTGTGCTTCCTTCAGGGCAGCCTTCATTCATCATCAGGTAGGGATTTTCCTCTTAGAGTTGTTCCAGCGCTCGCAAACCCTTCCTCTGGCACAAGGGGTTCAGGGCCAGGAGAGGTGCAGCTTTCTGCCACCTGGATTTGGACTGGTTCCTTGTTGTGGGTGCGTGCTCTTAATGGAAGACTGCGATCAAACCTTCCTGCTGGCTTCTGGCGCTTAAGGCCTACGAGAACCTTTTGACGTGTGGCCCAGGAATGGCGAACTTCAAAGGCATGTCAGCACCGAGGTTATGGTTCACCTGCACGGGGTCCTCGCTGCTGTAAATATCCCTGGCATGTAGCTGGGGCTTAGTGACCAGTTCTGGTCTAACCATGGCTGGAATAGCATTATCGAAAAGCCGCACGTGTTCCTGCGGTGCGTTCGGATGCTCTTTGAATAGTCATGTTTTTATCTTCGGTAGGGGGTATTTTAAAGTATGTCTATTCCTAGTTTTAGTTAATTATCTTTTAATGAAAGTGTCAGTCATATTCACATCTGCAGTATTAGGCTAAGATAATTAGATTTTCAAATGAGAAGCAATCTTCTTAAATCCCACGCAAGAAAATATTTGTAGAAGATTCCGATTTATAATGACATCTGTACGTTTCACCCTAGTTCTCAGCATAATAATCCCCCCCCACACACCAAAAAAAAAAAAAAGAAGAAGAAGAAAAGAAAAAGAAAGAAAAAAGAAAGGTGTCTGGTAAAATATAGGAGATAAAATATTAATAAAATATCAATACTTGTAGGGAAAGTGGAAGATGATGCATGTTATATGCATGACACATGTACCGTATGCAAAGAGCCCCCTTCCCTTGGCTGCTATTTACTTCATTTTGATGAGGCTGTTTACAGTTGACGTTGTATATTCCGGAAGGCTTTGCTTTTTACTTTGTTGATCTCTCCAAGCAATTACATGGCGGCCACCAAATAAAGTGTGCTGTGCTTTGTGCGCTGGGTGCATGTGGGCTGTATGTATATGTGTGTAAATATGATGCAGGGTGCGTGCATGCGTGTGCGTGTGCTTGTAAATAAATTCCTCTTTATCTCAGTATGGGCAGATATCCCCTATCTCAGATATAGTATCCTTCCTTTTACAGGGGTGTTGCGTTGTACGTTCATTACCCCATTGCAAACATATATTTTTCATTAAATCCCCATTAAAAGAGAGGGAAAGAGAAAGGCAGGGAGAAAGACAAACAGCCAGCCAGAAAGAAATATCTCCCTGACGGAATAATTAATTTGGACCCGTTGCTTTTAAGTTCCCGAACAGTTAAAAGAGCAAGTCTGCCCCCTCCTTTTTTTTTTTTTTTTTTTTTTTTTTTTTTTTTTTTAATTTTCCCTAGCCATCCACTTTGTGTGCCTGTGCGTGTGTGTCTGTGTTACTAATGAAGTTTGCAGACTCGTGTTTGCATCCACGAGCTCTTTCCGCTGCCCCTCTTCTCCGGGCTGCCCGCGCGGCTCCCGCAGCCCCGGCGCAGCCCCAGAGCCGCGGCGCTCCGGCTCCCGGCCGCGGGGCTGCGCGTCATTTGCAGCCCGGAGAATGTTGATCACCTCACTAATTACACCTCTCCCTCGCCTCTTCCCTCTCCTCTCCCTCTCCCTCTCGCTCCCTCGCTCTCTCTCTCTCTCCTCTCTCTCCTCTCTCTCCCTCTCTCTCTCTCATTCCCAGAGTGCATATCGGGAATAGACACACAAAGACATGCGCACTCAACTTAATCAGCCATTTTTTTAAACAGGGCTAAAACGATAATAATTAGCAGAATAAAGACATATCGGATTTTCATTTCCTTTCCTCCTTTTCCCAACCCCTTCACAACCAAACAGCGAGACCGCGGTCGGCACATGCTTTAACAACTCCCGGACCCCAAAGGACCGCTCCATGCCCCCCACTTCTTGCTCAATCATTTTTATTTTCACCCAATAAAGTTGGAGGATTATTTTTTTTTATGATTTTTTTAATGAACCTTCTCTCGTTTACTTGGATGTGATCAGCTGTTAAGTAAATAAAGCAAAACAAAAAAAAGAGGCGAAGATCCAGTAGGAACTGCGAGGGGAAATGGAAAGTAAGTTTTTTCTTTAACTTTTATTGAGTAGTTTGTGTTAAATTTAGGTCGAGTATCGATTATCTTTCCAGGCTGATCTTGCACAATCTTTGATATTTCGCTCTCGCTCTCTCTCTCTCCTCTCTCCGTGCCTCTTTCTCTCTCTCTCACATACGCACACACACTCACATCCCCGCATCCCGCGTACCTCTCCCCTCTCTCTCTCCCCCCTTTTTCTGCCTGTTTCCCCATTTTTAGGTATAGTATTTGCTCTCGCTCGGGGAGGAGGGGCTGCTTTTTCTCTCTCCCTTCTTTCTTTCCCTCTCTCTCTCTCCTATTCCGGGGGATACGTTTGTTTGTGCATTATGATATATTTTTTTTGTTTGTTTTGCTTTGCGGATTTTTTTTTTTTTTTTTTTTTTTTTCCGGGATGTAACTTCGGGACCGAACGGGGGACCCTGTTTACTTTGCACAGGAGGGTCTGGGGGTGTCCCCCGCTTTGTATTTCGCTCGTTTTTTGTCTGGGAGCTCGGGCTGGGGGGAAGCACTGTCAGATGAGGAGCGCCGTTCCGGCTGTCAGAACCCATCGTCCGCCGCCCCTTTTGGGTTCTCGCTGCCGTCCCGCAGCTCGGGCTCCCCAAAACTTTGAGGTGCTTTCCGAAGGCTCTCCCCCCCCACCCCCCTCCGTCCCTCTCCTTCCCATCTCCACCCCCCTCGGCCTCCCAAACTTTCGCTTTCGGGAGAAGGGGGGGGTGGGGTGGGGTGGCGGTGATGCCAACAGGGCAATGGGGACCCTGACTCTGAGCGCGTGTGTGCGGGTGAAGGTGTGGGGTGCCCCCCCCCTCGCCCCCCTTTATTTCGCAGGTAGGTTTCTCAGGAGCAGAGCAAGGGGCGGCTGCGTGTTTATGTGTGTGTGTGTGCGTGTGTGAGCGCAGTGGGACCGCGCTGCCGACTGGCTCTGGCAGCCGGAGGAAGCGAAGCCCGTTAGGAGCGCGCCCTGCCTCTGTCAGTCTCACCGCGCGGCCCGGCCCGGCTCTGAGCGGAGCGACCCGGCCCCACCGCCCCGGGGATGCGCGGCTGCTGCCTGCGGGCGCTGCCGGCTGGGAGCTGGAAGAGCCCCGGCATCCCCGCCGCGCTGTGCTGCGCCGCGCCGCGCCGCGGGGAGGGCTCCTCGCCGGCTGTGTTCAACGCAGCCTTTCTGAGGGTTTTGCAAAGGAGCGGAGGGGGAGGGGAAGGGGGGGACGACTACGGTTGTTTTGCGGGACGGGACTCTATTTATTTATTTATTTGTTTTAAACCGAGCACCGAGATGGAAAAAAAAAAAAAAAAAAAAAAAGGAAAACAACAGCCAAGCAAAAGGAAAAAAAAAAGAGAGAAAAAGGTCATAAACAGCGAGCAGGCAGTTCGATCCCTGCCCTATCTGACTGCTCGTGCCAGAATCAAGTGCATCCCTTCCCATCACGGCGGCTAATGGCAGACGCGTCCCTGCTTCCCCTTCTTGCCATACGTGAAATTTCCTGCAAAAATACTAATAAACTTTCCCCCATCCGATGCTAACTTACGGCGGTGCCCCTCCACTCCTCCCTTCCTTCATCTTGCCCCCCTCCTCCCCCAGCCTCCCCAGCAGCAGCAGCAGCAAACGCCTGGGTTGGTATTTCTTTTGTTACCTGCGAGCCGGGCGGCTGGGGTCCCTCCTCGGCTGCTTAGGGCACCGGGTCCAACCGGGAGAGGAGGCACAGCAGTCGGGTTCAGCCCGTTTCACCTCAGCGCCGTCCCGAGGAGGCTTTAGCCACCATTCAATAACACACCCTCCTCCTCCTCTTCCTCCTTAGGTACCAAGGCAGAGATCGCAAACATAACACCCCCCTCCCCACCAAAAAAAAAAAAAAAAAAAAAAAAAAAAAAAAAAAAAGCCAACCAAAAGACAACTTGCCAGGCTGAAGATGGTGGATTTACATTAAGCCAGACACAGGCAGGTTCACTCAGGAAGTCTGACCATCCCGTTTTCTGACAGTTGCATTTCCTCGGCTCCATTCCGTCCTCCTCTTTTCTTTTTCTTTTTTCTTTGCTTTTTTTTTTTTTTTTTTTAATTCTCTTTTTATTAGCCTCGTTCCATTTTTAATCGAGGATTATGTAGTTGGCAGGAGGACAGTGAGAAGGAGAGTGGAAAGAGAGGGCTCGTGTGCTTTTGGGGTGGTTGCTGTGAGGGTGTTTTTTTTTGATGGTGCATTTTTTTTTTTTTTTTTCAATTGTGTTTCTCCTGGATTTTCAGTGGCTCGATCCTTGGGAGCGGTGCTGGAGTGTTTAAAAAGATCATATGTAGCATTATATTTTTAGTTTGGTGGTGGATGGATGGAAGAGGTAGTGAGAAGCCTTTGCAGCCCTGCCTGTTGTTGGTTAGATTGAGGCAGAGACTTGGCTGCGATTGGGACGCGACTGTGACATGGGCATCGATCGCTTCCATTGAGAGCAATGCAAAAACACAGCCTGGGTATGTAACACTCTCAGTGCCATCAACACTTGTTTTACTTTATATTTACTGGCAAAACTGACAGAACGATCTGGAGCGCTTTTCTTTGAAATGAGGAATACAAACGTTTGGCTGGGAAGGTGCACAAAGAAGATTGTGGAAATAAATGGGGGGCTGAAGGTTGGGCTGGGGGGGAAAGCCTTAATCATCATTGCTCCACTTCCTATTCATCTGACTGTATTTAAGGAGTTTCTCTCTTTTCTCGACTCGGGGATCCTACTAAACTGGTGGAAATGAAAAAAAAATCAGACAATCAACCTTGAGGGAATATCTGCTAGTTTTCAGGGTTTGCGGTTTCAGCCGGTAGGAAGGCACACAACATAAAAGATGGCTAGCCAGCTGTTTTAACCTCTTGCACCTGGCTCCAGATCTGGGGCTCACTAGGATTATTCAGTTATTCGTGCTATCTGTGCCTGAATATTTATAGTGTACGATCTAGAGATCCACACAGTGCATTGTAGCATCTCTTTATCCTTTAGTCTTGGTGGTTTTGGACTTCGTCAACATAAACATGTATTCAATAGTTTTCATTTTTATGATAATGAACATAGAGGGTCAATGAAATATAGAGGGAAAAGTCGTAAATCTGCAAAAGTGAAACCTACCCAAGGAACAAAGAAAGGTCAGGTAAACCATCTGTGTAAGTCACAGTAATAGTACCTGCTGTTTGGCTTATGCAGTGATACTGCTTTATTATTCTCTAAAATGAAACTTATCCACTAGATCAAGTTAAAACTAAAAGAGAGCCGTGGAGATGATAAATGGCGTTGCGTGTGTCTTTCAGAACAGGGAGATGTTTTTGTTCCTAGGTTTTTGAATAGTTCAGGTTTATTTGTGAAGATGGTGCACCAGCAAAGATCATATAAAGGGGGCCGAGAAAAATCACTGTTTAATATTGCAGAATTTACTGCTTCCATTCTGACCATGAGCCTAAATTTACACAATGAAATTTGATTATCTCTAATAACAATATTAGATCCTGCACTGGATGGATGAGAATTGAGGTGGTTTTGTTGATTGCAAGGGTTTAATGTTGCATTTCAGAATCTGATGTGGTTTAGCCTCCCTTCCATTAACTGGAAAACCCCTGAGGTTTTACAATTATTTCTTAAAGATAATACATTTAAGATTGCATTGGTAGGCTGAAGAAAAGTCATAAAGGCAAGAAGGGAAGCCCTTAATAACTCTTGAGATTCAGACATGTTCAGCAGTTAGATTGGCTCTGACTTCACCAAGGGTCGACAATGTGTCATTTCCATGAAGCCAAATTGCCCTCTGCCTATATGATATTAATGTGCAAATCAATATTTCAGGGATTAAATTTCCCTTCTTCATTTTTTATGGTTTCTACCTCAATAAGTCTCAAGTCTATTAGAAGAGGCTGGATGATTTAAAATCTTTCACTGCAGAATGGCTTGTCGTAGCCTTGTTTCACAGACCGTTTTTAGATTTTCGTTATAAAAGACGAAAGGCATTCCAAAGAAGTTGATAGTCAATATAGGGACATGCTCACTGTTGTAAAGCCATTGTTCGATTAAGAGCTAAAAAGGTATTGGAAATATAATATATGTGTTTTTATAATATATATTCATTCTGCTGCTTTAAAAATATTGTGTTAATCACCTATTGATTTATTTCAAAATCGATTGAAGCTTCTTTCTTATTAGTGATTTGTTCAGCATTCTTCAGCATTGTTGTTAATTTCCTTAAGCAGCATGCATGAATTAATCTACTGGCAGAATGTGTTTTGAGTTTTCTTTGAAGCATACTTAAAACCAGGCATTTCTACCTATTTAAGATGAGTGGTGTGAACAGCTTAGTATTGTTGGGAGAGCAGGGCACTTCGGACTCAGCATTGTTTTAATGAAGCTCAGGGGCATTTTGTAAATATTTTATGATTTCTACTCAGATGCTTATCAGCAATGTTTATGAAAGGTTTCCACTGAATATTCAGGATCAGTTAAAAATTAAAATGGAGCTATCTGATCTGGAAGGAAACAATACATGACAGAAAATTTAGGTCAAAATATGAGGTTGTGACTTTATCACATAATCTTGGGAAGGCCCTACTGTCTATCATTTAGTGTTGTTTTACAGTCTTAGACCATCTGGACCAAGTTCCGCACAGCTGCATGAATTTCATATGTGATAGAACATTTTTTCCATTCAGTGTGAAATGTTCCTTCCTAAAAACGTACACCAGACTCGCTTAATTTAGTCTGCTAAAAGAAATGCACATGAAAAAGGACAAAAGGCTCTTTAATCTCTGCAAGCTGTTTGTTTTTCTTCAAGATTCCTGTCTGTTTGGGTTTGAAAAGTCATGTTTATTGAGCTGATGATTCTGAGGTGTGACATTAAAATAATATATGATTTTTGTGCTAGTTTCTGCTCTCCTAGTTAATTTGCAGAACTACTTTTTATGCCTGTCAAAACACATAGTTAATCTATTCTTATTTACAATTAATCTCAATAAAATTAATCTTAACTATGC